GAGAGAGAGAGAGAGAGAGAGAGACAGAGACAGAGAGACAGAGAGACAGAGAGACAGAGAGACAGAGGGGGGGGAGATTTGTACCAGAAAGATAGAAAATGTACTTCCACAAACAATCATATCATTTTTGGTGTAGCTGAGACCCAGCAACATGGGCACTTGTAGAACTGAAACCTACCTTGAGCATTTCAATCGGCCAGAAGAGTTGAATTTTCTCAAAAGGACTCTCATCTGTGTCTACATCACGTTTGATAATGTAAGTCTCCAAGTCCCGGAGGAAATTGCCCTCTTCAATCCTGGAATCGCACTGTCGCTGTTGGGTTTCGAGTTAAATAAGAGTGTTTTTACGGTCTTGCAACAACAGTACATCAGAAAGTACTGAATACGAAACAAAGAAAAGAAAGCTCAACAGCGCTCATGTTATAATATACAAAACATACAATTGTGTGAGTGTTTGTGTATGTGTGTGTGAATATGCTTATATGTGTGTGTGTGTATGTGTGTGTGTGTGTGTGAGAGAGAGAGAGAGAGAGAGAGAGAGAGAGAGAGAGAGAGAGATATATTTTAGTAAGAGTTTTACGGCACTTGCAACACAATAAGGTCATATTATAAGTGCCGAAGATTAGAGGTGTTACAAGAGAAAGGAGGGGAGATAAAGACGATACATGTTTGAAAGAAAAGAAGAGGCAAGACATAAAAAGACAGACAAGACAGATACACAGATAGACCGACAGATAACGAAAATGAATGTGTCTAACAAAAAACCTAACAAAACATAACCACAGTATGATTACAAAATCCATACGCACCCACTACTTTTGAATACATGTATCAGCCTCTTTCTTCCACCACTTGACCGCGAACTGGGTGTCCGTGCCTTAACGTGGGTGAACACTTGTGGGATTCGTCAGAAACAAGTACAAACTGCAACGGACGTAAACTCCAGATTTGTGAGGACTGTCCTTTGACTGACCATACCTGATTCGACATCACTAGTGCATATAGTCGGAAGCAAGGGGAGGGGGGATGAACCGGACAAATACTATAAGTGTGAGGTCAACGTTCGTTTTGGACACAGTTATTTTGAAGCTATTAGGAAGGGGG